GGCTATATCCATGTTGCTTGTATCTTTACAACTTATATTGTTTTTATTGCTTCCTAGTATGATTTGATTGTTTATTAGTATCCTATGACTATCACTAAGTGTTGTATCTTATGATTCTTTTTTTTTTTTAATTTGATTTATATGCCGCCCTTCTCCGGAGACTCAGGGCAGCTTACAATGCGTTAAGCAATAGCCTTCATCCTTTTGTATATTTATACAAAGTCAGCTTATTGCCCCCACAAACTGGGTCCTCATTTCACCTACCTTAGAAAGGATGGAAGGCTGAGTCAACCTTGAGCCTTGGAGAGATTCGAACCAGCAGTAAATTGCAGGCAGCTGTGTTAATAACAGGGTGCGTAGACCACTGTACTATCAAGGCTCTTGACGAATATATTTTATTTTTTCTTCAAGTACACTGAGAGCATATGCACCAAAGACAAATTCCTTGCGTGTCCAATCACACTGTTCCAATAGAAGAATTTTATTCTATTCTAAAAATATATATATGCAATTTTACTTGATGGCAAGTTTTAAAGAAAATGTAATTTTTCTAGAGTTGATTCTAGAATGCTGCCACCCTGCAGATCTATGCCTATTTCTTCTTTGCAGGAAGCCTCAGTGAGGAACCCTCACTGGAGTTAACAGTTTTTAGAACAAATTAAGTCCACTAAGAGTGTTTTCAGATCTCGGTTGTGTTTGGGAGCACTTTGTGGGTTGAGGATTAAAGCCTGTTGCTTTTTAGGAGAGCATTGATCATGTAAAGCCAGGGACTTATCGGCACCCATGGAAACTATTCAGGACACTCTAAAAAGGGAAAGTTGTTTAAATACACCCTCAGGAGGGCTTGTGAGTGTAAACAAAGAGCCCCATGCAGTCAAAATGAAGTTTTTAAAAGACTGAAGCACACTTACCTGGGAGCGAGACCTCTTGAACTCAATAGGAAGTGACACACGTCAGATGGCTAGGAATCCCATTGACTGCAGCAACCTGAATCTTCCGTTAGTTAGAACACATACCTAGAGTTGTGTGTTGCAATTTGTAAAACCTTAACCATCTCCTCAGCCTGGGTCTGGAACAGCCTCCAGGGCCTTCGAACTCTCCCCCACAAACCAAACAAGATTCCAGTGATTTTAAAAGAGGAACGTAAATTATGCAAGAAATTATCTCCCTATGGGTGGGTTCCACATCTCCACAGGGGATTCTCGTCCTCTTTTATAATGTGAAAATAATATGACCATTGTTTTTCAAGAGCAGAACATGTTTTGTTGTAATTAACAGAGGGAAAAGTTCCGTTGCATCCTCTCTAGTGCCGCTTCGTATCAAGGGCACAGAAGAACGAAGGCTAAGGAGGTTCAGAAACCACTTTGGGGCACGGATGCATTTCCTGGACCTGCACTCGACCCCTGCAGTCAGGAGGGGCAAGGAGACAGCCTGCCTCACCTCAGGATGAGGTTTGCCTCCCTCCGTGGGCAACAGGGCTCCGGAAGGCAGACAGGCACCCTTGTGCAGCTCCATCTTGTGTGTCAGTTGCGCCCATCCCTGAATGGGGGGCCCTTGCTCAGGAGCACTGGTGCCTTAGACACTCGAATTATTGCAATGCGCTCTACCTGGGGCTGCCCTTGAAAGCCACCGGGAAACTATCAATTGGTCCAGAAGGGATGGCACGGGTGGCAATGGGCACTTTTTGTTATGGCCACAGAATAACTCTACTCTGGGAGTTGTTTGGGCTCCCATGAGGCTCCTGGGTGTGATTCAAGCTGCCCAGGTTGAAGTTCAAGTTATTCCCTTAAAGCCCTCAGAAGTGGAATACTTGCAGGGGGCCTGCTCCGACAGGTCCCTGCCCTTCCCATCCATTCTCAGAGGGAGGGCACAGCCCAGATAGCTTTGTTGAAACAAGGGCATCCTATGGGACCCAGAAGGGAGGGTCTTCTCCGTGGCAGCCCCCGCCCTTTGGAGGAAGGAAGCTCCCTGGGATATGTGGTTGGCCCCAAACCTGGAAGCCCTTAGGAAGGCAGCAAAGACCTGACTCTTCCCCCAGGCTTTGGGATCATGTTGTCATTTCATTTCATTTAATAATTTTTTTTATTATTTATTATTTTATTTTAATTTTATTTTATTGATTTCAGTATTTTATTTTATTGCTTTGTGTGTTTTAATGTGCTATTTTACTGTGTATTAATTATTTTTGGGTTTTTATATGCCACCCAGTCACAGAATCTGAGTTGGGTGATTATATGAATGAATGAATGAATGAATGAAGCAAGCAGTCAGTTTTGGAGGATATGACAACTCTTAACCCACTATGGTTTTTTATGTTATGTTTCCTGCATTTGCTGGAAAATCTATGAAATAACAGTAATATAGTGTTCATTATTTATTTAAAATTAAAAATACAGAATTTATATCTCTTAGGAATTAAGTTTTCACTTGAATGATAAAATCGCTGTAAAAATGGGAAGGAAATGAATGAATCTGGGTACGTCAGACTATCAACAGAACCCTAAGCACTGTGGTATTTCAAATATGCAGGCTAAGAATTACGGCAGTGAAGTTTTAATTTGGAGAGAAAGAATGTTTATGTTTTTTGTAAAAATCCCAGCAAAATCCAGATGAATTAATGTTGGTGGCTGAACTTCCTGCTAGTGCAATGGAAAGTCCCAGAAAAAGATGGATGGGGCCACACAAATAACACTCTGGCAGCTTGGAAAGGAAATGAAAACAAGTTAGGAGTCTTTAAGAAAGTATGAGAAAATTGCGGAAACGTGCCAGGCAAAAGTCAGAAAAGAAAAGTCAGAGAATAAATGAAGGTTAAAAAAAGAACTTTTAGGAAGACTATGAGAGATACCAGATCACTTTTTGCCTATGTTCAATGGCTGTAGTTCATCAAGTTAATTTCCAATAGGCTGTACCATTTTCTTTAAACTATTTTAGTAGGATGTAAATGGCATTAGACTGTCTGCTCTAGCCCATTTGGAAAATCCTGTATTTGGCTCTTATTTATTTTCGAATGACTTCAGAAGCACACAGTCAATAAGTAGCCATACTTCAACAACAACTACCACAACAGTCCCAGTGCTGCTGTGAGCCATGGCCATGGGGTCTCGGATCCTCATTGGACTGAGAAGCAGGGAACCACCAATGCCTTCTCTTCCCAATACGAGTCCAAATTATGTATTAGGCATGGCCAAAAGATCCGTCTCTTGTTAATTCCGTTATAGCTGGTGAATCAAACGTTGGCCCATTTGCACACCTTTTCCATGATGGTTTGCCGTTGGGCCAGTACACTCCGCTCCACAACCTGGGGATTCTGCCTTGCCAGCTGAGGTTTTCCCCCGATCAGAGGAAGGGAGGTTCCTTCCAACGGGACGGGTGAGGCCCTGAAGAACGTGCCCGTGTCTCTGTGGGTAACAAGACCTAGCCAACCCTGCTCCCTTAATGAAAACCGAGGGTCCGGGACAGATCACACAATGCCCTTGTGCCCATCGGGGGAGGGGATCCTGGTGAAAGGACCTCTTTCCCTTGTTAGGAACAGGGCCCTGTGGGGGAAGGAGAGTTTGATCCAAGTGGGAAGGCTGATGCCTACGGAGACATCTAAGGCAAGAAGCCAGACGTCAATATTCCTGTTAGGACTGTGATTCTTCAGCCGGCCAGGAGAGCTTGCTAAGTCTCCCCTTGAAGGTTCTCAGTGGTTCCTAGCTGCAAACACTGAGCAGTCACGGGAAGCTCAGATTGCTGGTTTGCACAGTTCTGCTGGAGTTCAGTCCAATATGTGCATGAATTGTAAACTATTTTATAAAGAGAACTATAGCTAACTTCAAATATTGAGTTCAGGTATAATCAAGTTTCCTTAGCTTTCCTTAGCTTCTTGTGTTTATTGTGGTTTAAACAACAAGCCATCATTAAAACCATGACTGACGGCGATGGGTGAACTCAGAACATTTCATCCACAGTATCTGCCTTCTCAAATCTGCTTCTGGGGCCACACTTCTAAACCTGTTTAATCAAAATTAAAGTCCAGTAAGTTCATTGCAAACTCTGCCAAAATAAATGTGGTTAGGTTAGGACTGCAGAATAGTTGTATACACATGCACACAAAAGAAATAATATTCACATTCAGATTTAATTACTGCAACTTAAAATGCCTGCTGAAGAATAAAAAATATGGTGCATTTTGTCATTTTTTAAAAAGCTCATTACTGGAAGATACATCAAGATTTGTAAAAGTTAGCCCTGTTCAAAAACTGCTGATAGAAGTCATTTGTTCTCATGAGAAGCTCAGGGCAAAATCTTAATAACTTTTGAAATTCTCAGTACACTTTAAATCATCCCAACAAGTTTGCAGACTCAAGCATTAATACAGATGTTTCCTGTATTTAAAATGTATGAAATTCTGGGAACACTTTTGGAAGATGCAAACATTGCCCAAGGAGAAAAAAGTATACTGGGTTTGGTCCAAACTGAGCAAAATTTGGATACATCTACTGAAATCAATGGATTTTTTATTAGTCCTGATGAGTTTATAGTATAGAGAGGAGAAACCTTGCATCCAGCAATGAAATAGAGCAGTTTCTAATCTCATATGCTTTTAATTCACTACAGGTGAATTACATGCTGCACGTCAGGGTAGACATGACATATGAGATGTTCCTCATGTTTAACCTTTCTTAGGGTAGCATGGACAGGACCCTAGTTTTGCTAACTTCTTGGTTTCCAGATTTTTAATCTTCAGGGAATTCACCCTTGACTCCATGTTACATCTCAAGACATAGGATGTGTCCCATTTACAATTATTATTTCAGATCAAATTTTCATGCATTAACTTGGATTTGTGTCCTATCGCAAATATGACACAATATTGTCTGCTTTGTAATGTGGGCAAGCAAGTCTGGAATATTTTGCTTCTCTAGACCAGCTGAAAGCCACGGCTACAAGGTGTCAACAAATCAAGGAGTTTTCATCCGAGCGTTTTCTGTTTTTACCATCCATATAACAAGATCATGAGCAGAAGAAATATTTTAATGCTATTCACAGTCTTCCAAAATTAAAAAAAGAAAATATACAGCTTAAGTCATTTGAGTTTCCCTCCATTTTTTCCCATCTGTTTCTCTTTGTATCAAAGCATAAGATAAGATGAAGGAGCTCAGACCGAACATGGGAGAAACGAGGAAAGAGGAATATTCCATGAGGCAAAACCCTTGTCAGGATAGCTCTGCTAAGAAATTAGATAAAAGGTACTTATAATATAAATCACCTGCAGTTTAGTTGAGTTTGCTTATCGTTTGACTCAATTTCATAAACAAGGGATTAAAACTGAGCAAAAGTAAACCTGGAGCTTTTTTCCTAATTAAAAAATAAAATAAAATAACAATTAGAATATCAGGATATTATCAGACAAAAAGCCTATTCTATCTCCCCTCCCCCAAAAGAGCTATCTTTGACTGCATATTGGTTGTGGTATATTTAAATAGTTGTTTAATAAAATACATCTTTAAGTCAAAGGTTAGGGAAGTCATCAGTAGTAGGGCCAGAATAATCCACCTGCTGTTGCCATGGCTTCAGGGAATTATTGGTTGGGTCCATGTGACTCTAATGAATAATTGCATACAGTATTAATTCCATTCTTCCAGCACATTTATAAACAAGTAGGCAAAAAGGGTGTATAAGTCTTGCATACAACCAAGTGTGAAAGTTCTGTTCCTTAGCTTTCCAAAATCCATGCAGTTCTTTAGTCAAGTTCAAGAGAAGTCCCAGAGAGCATTTTTTTCCTCCTCATAATTCCTTTTCAAAATGGCGGCATGACCCATGACAGTCCTCTTTACTTCGGTCCAAAGAGAAATGCAATTTCATCTCACTGCAAAACCACAAAACCATAAGCTGGTTTCAGAGTCAGCTTACGTTCCAGATATGACAGGGGTCAACGAGACGAGCCCAACGGAAAACGTTTCAGCAAACTGGGCCCATTTTCAACCAAGCAGAAACCATTCAAGCTTCCCAGCTCTTTGTAAACATCCACGTAAATGCCATAGAAAACGTTCGTCTGTATTGCATCTCATTTCCAGTTATGCAAGGTTTTACTTGGATAAAAGGGGTTTTTTTTTGGAGGTAATTGTCGCTCAGACACTTCGTGGTGCCCTCTCAAACTCGTGGGTCCTTCTATTCCTACCTTTCTTATTTTCCTGTAGATGCTTCCATTTGTTTGGGTTCACCTGGGCATTAGCAGGTCTTTGCCGGCGTTGTTTGCGGTCCCGTTTCCACACCTGCTCGCAGAATTCATCCATTGTGTTTAGGTTGGGATGGTTGATGAGCTGCATGAAGTCTCTATACCACACTTTCTGGATGGGAGTCATGCCGTTGGAGGCCTCCTTGACCTTGGAACTGTCTCCTTCTTCTTCTTTATGAAGAAGCTCTTCCAGGTGTTCCGTGTCTATGATCTCCAAGGTGACCTTGAGGAGGGTTTGCATGAAGCCGTGCTCCACAGCATAGCAGAAGTAGAGTCCCGAATCCTTCCTCTGCAAGCTCCGAAGGAGAAGACCTTGCTCTGTCCGGATCAAACGGTCATTTACTTTGATCTGTGGGGGAAGAGAGAAAGTTCCTGTTTAAGTAGGGAACTCCAGAGTCTGAAACTTTGTTCAGCCATGATAGCTCATTGGAAGAGACTTTCTATCACTCTAGGCTATTTCTCAGACCTTTTTGAACAGAAGGAGGAGGAGGAGGAGGAGGAGCAGGAGCAAGAGGAGCAGGAGCAGGAGAAGGAAAAGAAGAAGGAGAAGGAGAAGGAGAAGGAGAAGGAGAAGGAGAAGGAGAAGAAAGAATGGTGCTTGGATAGTTTGAAAAATGAGTGCAGGCTAGTGTTAGAAACACTTCGTTTCACTTATTCTATATTTTATGGACATGTTTAAACAATAAATAAACCAGGTTCATTAGTAACATCGCTGAGATGATGCTGTTCTACACAGCATACACAATAAATGATCAGAATGGTTGAACCACCTTATGTAATCTATTGAATGTTACAACATCCATCTTTAATATGAAAAGAAACTTTGAAGACAATAAAAGCACTGATGTCAAACTACAGACAATCAATCATTATAATAAACAGATGCATGTTCCTCCTCTCCTCTGTATTAAGTCAGAGGAGACCTAATAATCAAAGCAATCAGTCTGAGTGACTTTCAAGAGAAGAAAGGTGAGCTTGGCTCCAGGGTTCCCCAAATAGGGCAAATTCCAGGACAGCGGACTTCAACTCCCAGAGTTTCCTACTGATCACAGCTATTGTGGAAAATTCCTTTTCCTCCTCTCTCATCCTTTTATTAACAATTATAAAAGAAACAAAAAAACCCCTACAACATTATAAAAGAAGGGAGTGAAATGATCAGAATTCTTGAAGTCCACACATTGAGAAGTTGCTCACACTGCAAAACACTGTTTCTCTTCCTTTTTTATTCCCACTGTTCCATAAGCAAAATTAAATTTGGGTAGGAGACATGTCTACGTATTTGAATTAAAGCAGCTGCAGTATGTATTTGAATTAATCTATTTCATTGTGTTAAGATTTATAAATAGAACACATTTAATCGATGTTTTCCTTATGGTTCAGATTAAAATCGATGTTCTATGATCTATGTTAATTGTTCCCAGCTCGATGCCATCCAGACTGATGGGATTACGAGTTTCATCTTGAGTCGACACGGAATGGCTGTGGTTGATGAGAGCGTTGCCCAACACATGTAGAGGGTACAGAAATACGGTCTATTTTTTCCCATGCTTTAAAAAATGAAGCAGAGAACACTTTGGGAATCTAGTCTTACAAAATGCGTAGCTATTGCCAAGCAACGAATGACCTATGAATCCTTCATACAAAATATGGTTTTCTGCCTTGTACAATTATTTCCTTTCTTCTTACCTCCTCCTACTTCCCCAGCTCAGGTGAAGCTGTCTAGCCTTCTTGGAAAAGAGGCTTGCTCTCTTACAAATGAGGTGATGATGGGACCTTCCAGGCTACTCTGCCGTCTACATTCTTACTAATCCCCCCGGAAACACGCAAAGTCTAACTGTATTCTGTGGGCAACCATTCTGTGGGGAGGAGGGGAGACATCAGAGCCAATTGCCGAGGGGCTTCCATCACACAGGAGAGCCTCTTTTCTCAGTGGGAACTTTTCACTGGATGTTGAAATGGAATAAATGAGCAGGTTTTATTGTTGTTACAGGATGCAAGATACTGTAAACTGGTCTCAGGCTAAATGGAAGTTCTTAGGGGAACTATCACAATGCTGTAAGTAATGATGATGATGATGACCATCAGAATTAAGGGGCCAAGGGACACAAACCTTGAGCACCTGCTCTTACCTCTTCTTTCCGATCATCGTTTTGCTTCTGAAACTGCCAATAGACCAGAGCACGTTGAGATTTTGGGCTGCACTCCAGGAAAGTACTGCTGTTCTCTACGCCATAGATAATCTTCTCTTCCAGCCCGGTCCCACTTGGGTTATCTGCAGAAAGCAGTAAGAAGAGGCATCGTTTAAGCTTGGCTGCAAGACGCTGCCTGCATTCATCCAGAGCCCTCTGCACATGGAAGGGGACTCTTTCATCCAGGCAACACTTTGGAAACAAGAGCAAAGCCAGGTCTTCCAAAGCAGCGATGCTTGGGAAATTGTGACAATTATGTACATATGTGTACATATGTGAGCTTGTGAGTACATTTCTTCTTTAAAAATAAAAATCAGCTCCTGGTGAACTCATAAAAAACCCGGAGGCAGTTTGCCACTGCCTTATCCTGGGATGTTTTTCAATTTCTGTACTAGGAGCTGACTAGATGCCATGGAGGTTGCCTCCAAATAAAATCTAGGATTTATGTGACTTACCTCATCTCTAGAATAACATAAATCTGGGATTTATGCTGCTCTTGTCAGCCCTGAGCTGCCACAGCTGAAAATGGATGATGTTTGTAGAAGTAGCAATCTTGACTGCTACCCATCCTAAACAACGAAGAGAGGCCCACAGGCCAAGATCCGGGATCAGCTCTAAGCAACCAGTTTAGGTTGCTCTGGGGAGTCTCCTCTGGCCCATAGACATTTGGCTCGTGTCATGGGGCAGATGTGACTCCAGAATTAATTTGACCAGGCACTGCCCAACCAGCACTTGTCACATCCTTAAGATTATAGGCCTAACATTCTTCTGAAAGGATGCTCAACTTGCTTTTCAAGTGTGGAGTGAATGCACTTTGGAAACAATGCTGGTCCTATGCTGCATAAGGACAGAGAGCCTTTGTTACTTCGGTGGCCCCTGGGGACATTATAGTGCTCCCGCTACTTCTGCTGACACGTTTTGCATGGCTGAACTTTTCCCTGTTCTTATTTTCAAGAACCACAGAACCACGTGGCCAGTTGTCACCCATTGCTCCATCATCCCCTGCCTCCAACATGCCTGGATCACCTTTGGGAGGAGAGTCAGGGCAGCCCATGGTAGGTGAGAATCAGAAGGTGCCCTGTAGGATCTTTTCAGACCAAGAGCCTCTCTCTTATTAGACGGTATGAGCTCCAACTTCTACATCAGAGTGGCTAAAGCAAGCCTTCTGCACCCGAGGAAGAGCTGGAAGCTGAAGGCATCTAACAAAACGTGTGAGTCGGCAAAGAGGCTCCTTTGGAAGAATTCTCCTCTCATGCTGGGGAACAGCCCCAAATTAACCGAGGCACTGAGGCCATTGAACTGAGCAGGACATTCTTTCCGCTTCACCCCAAGCTTCTTCTTAAGCCTGTCCCTGGTTACTTAGTTGGTCCTGATACAGGTGGCAAACCTGCCCTTTCAAGCATCCCCCCCAAACTCTCCCCACCTGCCCCCTTGCAGGAGGTGCTTGGTCAAAGAGGAAACAAAGCCAGAGGGATCCACCAACTCCATTTGTAAGTTGGCTTGCAATAGGTGAGGCCGGCCCTATTCCCTGTCCTCAGAAGGTGGAAGAACAGCAGTTGACGAGTAGCAGAATTGACGCCGGCCGTTTTCTGCCAGCTCAAGAGTGGACATGGGTTGTATTTATCTCTGCCATGAGGAAGAGCTCCCACCCGCCTATTTCAACAGTTTGGGGAAGGCCATTTTGGAATGGCACTGAGGGCTCTTTCCGTTCCTCTCATGCAGCCACCACCAAGCCTCCTTGGCGTCTGAAAGACTCCCATCTCAATGTTGCGCAGACTTAGGCATATCTAAGCCCAATCGCTAACTTTGCATGGGCTGAGACTATTTTCCCGTGGCACGTTTTCTTTGGTTGCAGCCGAGTTCATCAGACATGTTGGTGAATGCTAATCCCAAGATGAAATAGTTAATCTTTGAACTGCTCTGGGTTCCTTTGCTTCTGGGGCTTCAACGGGGCAGCCTCCCTGTTTGGAGTCCCTGGCAGGGCCTGGATTCCAGATTCTCTTTATTAATGGCGGTCTCCTGGGGGGCTTTCAGGGGGTGAGAGCTTGGCAATCAAAATCTTTTCAGCCTTTTTGTTCTCCAAGTGAAAGATACGTGCCTCCTGCAGGGCCATCCATTGTCAGATCCTGTTGGCTGTGTACCACTTTGGCAAACAAAACCTGTTTGTTAAACTGCCGTCCCCAGGAGGAAGCCAGCAAGCAGGCCGGTTGCTTTCATGTTGATGACAGACTAATCAAACATATCACCTTAATGAGCTTCAGCTATCAGAGCCCAAGTAGGGAAAGTCTGAGGAAGAAAACAGCTAAGCAAATCAGCAGATAAAAACAATTAGCATTCAGATGTTCTGTTTGTTCCAGGATGCAAGTGGAAGGACTTTTTTTTTTAAAGGATTGTTTTGGAGCAAAACTGATTCATTGGAGAGAGATGGGGAGGGGCTTGGAAATTACCAAGGGGAAAAAGAGTTGAAAGGAAGAATTAGACACAGCGACGTTCAAAGGCAGCTGGCAGTCGACGTTCTAAATCTTGGACCTGAAGTATCCCTCTGTTCCCGGTTGTTGTGATAACCCTTTCATCAATGTTTCTGCTAGCAGTCTTATCTGCTTATTTGCTCATCTGCAAGCTTTCTGCACAATTCTCTGCTCCCCTAAATTCAAGTCCAGACATTGGGATTGATTAGCAAAATGTGGCAATGGCTTTCTTTGTCCAGCAGAGGGGGCTGCTGCATTTTGCAGAACGTTTTCCTTCTGAATTGGAAGGTGAAGATTGTGGAAGAGAGACCAGGGTGACTCTCTTATGTCGGGATATCCTCAGGTAAAGGTTCATAAACACGGCAGGTAACAATCATGTACACAAACACTTGAAAAGAAATCAAGTCAGGTGGATTTTCATCAAGTTAACATGCAAAGAATTTGGGGATGGGTATAAAACTTTTTTTCTATAGATTTCCAGTAGACAGAAGTCCAGTGTCTGATCGGCTGTTTGGTTCCTGCCGTGCCCACTCCCTGTGAGTACGACCGACCGTGTGTGTTGACCTAACAAATTCTAACTCACCGGGATGTTGGAGGTCTGAGCAGTGAGTGAGAGGGTCTCCATTTCGGATGTCCTGTCGTCTGGTGCGCCTACAGGAATCAGTGAGAGAAAAAAAATCCATACTGTTTCATCACATTCACTGCATTTTTTAAAATGAAATTAATATTCTAGACTATCTCTGTTCCAAAACGCAAACTGATCACAGAATGAAGGCTTATTCACCCACTGAATGTGTCAAGATATTAAAACAAAGTACACATTCAGGAATCTGATCCAAGGCCAAAAAAATGAAAGAATGAATTCATCAACATTTGTGGAAAAGATATTATAAATAATTGTCAGTCAAGGCTGTGCTTAAAAATCAATGCTTCTGATTCATTATTTCTGGAATATTCTGGCCAAGGCTGTAAATGCATTTTGCTTATCACAAAAGTTAGATTGATTTGTAGATAGTTGGATCAATAAGAGCGGAATTCGCACATTTGGTGTAACTTTTATAAATGCACAAATAAATCTGCAATGCCTCATCTGCTTCTGAAAATAAGACCAGTCAAGCTTTGTCTAACTCAAGTAATTTGACTTTCCGGCTAAAGGAAACTCCACGCATGTGTTCTAATGTCTCCTCTCTGCAATCATTGTTCTTGTTATTCCCCACCTCTTCCCTGTGAACCTTTTCAGTCTTGGGGGTCTTTAATTTGGTCTGCACCCCACCTTTCTTCTCTGGCAAGAATTCTCCCCAGAAGAGCCCATGATTCCACGGAAGGCTGAACCAGAGTGCCAGCTCCTCCTTTTCCTAGAACCATTTCAGTTTTAGGGCCTATGAACAGAACTGATTTGTAAGCATACTGATAGCCTCCATCAAAACATTAACAAATGCTTATTTAGGAACTGTCCTGTTCACGGAACAGGTGTTTTCTAATGGAGATTTCTTTGGGCTTTTCTGAAACTCTTAAACCCACAATTTGAGAGCATTCTTTGCAAAACCTTTGTCTGTTAAGAGAGATTATTGGAATATACGGTAGGTAGCCCTGAGCACAAGGATGAGCTAAAAGAGATTTAATAATTGTTTTGTTTTGAAACATCATATGTTATTATTGTTTTTTTTAAAAAAAGATGTTGCAAAAATATTTTTTTAAAAAAAATCAAACACTGTTCCTGTTGAGGCTGCCACTGTTGTGTTCCTATTGCAAAAGACCAGAGACCTCCATTCAGGCCATAGAAGTGGGATCGTTAGGAAAAGAAGAGAAAACCAGGATTTTGCTAGAATCCTCTGGAGAAGAACAAGTGAGAAGGCAGTCAAAGGGAGGGAAGGGAAGAGAGGATGAGTGGAACTGAAAAACCCTGAAATCATGTCTAAAGTCAAAGACCAGCAAGAACGGGGCACAGCTCAGGAATTCTTGCTTTTTTTTGGTCTGGAAAGCTTAACAGAGGTCAGAAAGAACATTTTGTCCCATTGTTTTAAAAGGAACTAGAACATTAATTATTTGGTCTGGAAAAATATTGACCAACATTCAATTCCCATAACATTCCTTAAATGAGCAAAAAGGATCAAATTGATTAACAAATACTGGTTGTTTTAATGCCTGTGCTTACTCCTGTCTTTTAAAGAAAGGTTCTAGTTTTAAGTTGTGATGGGTTTTATTTTT